AATATTAAAGAAATATAACAGAAATAAGAGTTAACAAATCAAGAATCCACATAAACCATCATCACAATTTCTCAAACGAAACAAATCAAAATCTGTTCTTTTATCTATTGTCAAAATACATAATATAATCTAATAATAGTTAAATATTAAAAAATAGATAATTTTTATAAGCTATAATAATGAAAAATATATTTACTATGACATTTCAGTTTAAAATAGTTGATATAATGAAATTTTTTGGATCACTAAATTCAAACTTAGAGAAACTGAAAGCTTATGAAAACCAACGACAAAAAAATTATAAATAAAGTTAACATTTTAAAAATCTAAATAAAAATAAATGATTATATTCAATGAAATGCATAACATAACCAAAAATACATAGTATAAAAAATTAATATATATATATACACAAAATTCATAAGACTAAAAATTTAAAATATTCGTCGACAATATTGATTTTATGTTTCATCAAAGCAAAATTTCCAAAAAAAATGAATCTAACAGTTTTCGATTCTTAAACTTAAGCCCAAAAACTAACAAAATATTAAGAAAAACTTAAAATAAAATGCATAAAAATACATATTTCATAAAGTAATGTATAAATATAAGAAGATATACAATTTTTTTTAAAAAAAAAACTTATTTTCATGATATAAAAAAAAAGAAGTTCTTATTCAGATAATTGTGATTTTGTAAAAAACATGTTACATCATAAATTTCGATGACAATATAACCATAAATTCAATACATATATAAAATAAAAAGTATATATTTGCACAGTTATAATACAAACATCATAACAATTAAAGTATAAACTTTATTTTATTTTTATGTCGAAGTGTATAAACTTGATTCGAATCTCATTAACAAGTATGGCTGGACCCTAAAGTTATAAAATAAAATGGCACATTCATAAACATTGTTATAAATTACACAAAGGATGAGTTTGACAGTAGAATAACTTTAGGGTCAAAGCTGAATAATGCTTTAGCATTGGGGAAGAAACCGAAACACTCAAAATTTACAATTTAACCCCACATTGGAAACTTATTAACTTCTGCGCTTTTCGTCGGCTTCATCAATCGTTGTTATCGTCTCATTAAAATCTCATCAGAGATGGCGTTTTTGCTCAACAACAACTCGATTTCATCTTACCTCCGATCTTCTTCCCAGGTTTTTCGATTCGAATCTCATTAACAAGTATGGCTCGATTAATGATGGCAGGATCGTTTGATCTATTTTGCAGAAGACGGATGGTGGCGCCCTAGGTCAATCCCGTCGAGGATTCCATGTGGAGCTAGGATCTCGCGAGAAAGATGTAAGTTTCTTCTTACGTTGAATCTTGGATCCGATTGGATGGATGTTTGTTGGTTCGTTTGAATTTGATTTTTTTTTTTTGGGATCCTTCTTTATCATTATTCTCTGATAGGTGTTTAATTTGCCTTTTATACAGTTTTAATATGAGATTCCATGATTGTGTTGCAGCTATTGGCGGATAATGATGCTTTGAGGAGATTCAAGTCGCATAAGAAAGGAGTGCGTCAGTTGAAAAGGATTGGAGATGTGATCACTGTTGTCGTCGTTGCTGGTATGTATCCACTCTCACTGTTTTCTTTCTTTTTTGTTTTTGTTTTTGTGATTCTTTCAAAATCACTATTAATAGCTGCAGATGGATACATCCTTTTTGCATCACTAACATATACCTTTGTCACTTCCTTGTAATGTTATTACCTACCGTCAGTCTCTTTGATGGAAAGCTAACTACTTTCTTATATAATCAGCACTTTGTAGTGTAGGGCTTATATGGTTTAGGTTTGATGTCATTAGTATTCTGTGTTTGAGTTGAATAGCCTTTCTCATGTGTGCTGTGTTTCATTCAGGGTGCTGCTATGAGATCTTTGCGAGAGCAACGATGAAAAAGGAAGCTTAGGCTGCTTGAGGAAGCTCATGAGTCCTCCCTCCTTATATGCTTTTATCATCAATCTTCCCTTTTTAGCAAGTCTCTTGAATTCATGTTGGCTATTGCTCAACGGCCTCTGAATAAGTGAATAAACGAAAGTATTTGGTATTTTGTTGTTTTCGAGAAACCCAAATTGATATTCTAGATGAAATGGACCAGAAAGACTCCTTTGACTGGAGCCATAAACTGTGTGTTTCTAATATCACATCTTGTTGATGAGTATTTCAGTGGGAATTAAAACCATAGAAAAATCACAATTTACGTTACTTTAGCTCGTTTCACATATTCTGTGTTAACAGCTTCATGGAACAATATATAGAAATATAGAATGGTGGAACTAGTGAAAAAGTTGTTATATATATTATGGAACATTCATAATCGCATCACAAGTTCAATGAATTTATCACACACAAAAATTCATTTATTTAATTGCTCCTAGAACCGAAACAATTGATACACTGAAGTGTATGCAACGAAAACTGATATGCTTAAGTGTATGCAAGAAAACAACATTCGCAGAGATTCATGGAAGGAAGCATCAGCTGCATGAGAGATAGATCAGCAACTTAATTCAGATCATTCCGGTTGTTCTTCAGATTGCTCCATCTCCAATTTCTGTAACGAAAAGAAATGAATTGTGAGATACAGGAAGGAACCTAATATAAGAGGATGTTAGATCAGCAGCTAAGTAAGAAAAACTATACAATATGTAGACAAAAGATCAAGTGAAAAAAGTGAATGCAAACCATGAATCGTTACAACAGATCGCATCTACCAGTTGATTACCGAAATTGTCATTTTTAAAAGAACAGAAACATTGAGGGAAAAGTTATCAACCCATTGTTTTTTTTTTGGGTACTAGCAATAAGGGTAAATCATATTAGTAATATTCTAACCAAAGAAACTGCATAAGGTGAATGGAATGTTCGCCATGACAACAGCAATCTTAGCAACCCTAATGGCACACAATTGTAATGATAAAGCTAAGAAATGTGAAGATTTAGTTAACTGGCTGGAGTTTCATCCTTAAAGAAACTCAGAGCAGGTGGTAAGGAATAGGGTTATAAGTGGGTCTGAAGAGATTGTAACAACTCACTATGAGGGTGACTACTTTTGTTTCTATCTGACTGACCATGCTATTTTTCCTACAAATCTGAAACCTGAGTAAGATCTTTTCTGCTAGAAAGATTAAGACTTAATCACAGATTCACAGTAGCTCCAGGATATTTAAAAGCATGCAATTTAGACAGAAACAATGAGTGCAGCAATGACAGATTAGGTCAGATATTCATCAAAATCAGAACTCACAAACATATGCCCTAAAATCTCCACCTCTCAGCTCAGCAGCAACCAAAATCAAAGAAAAAGCTTTTACAAAATTTTGGATAGTGATGAGTAGAAATGACCGAGTTAATCTATCAGGAACGATGGACCATTGGATACGACGGGAGTCCCCAAGAGAGAAGAAGAAACTTACAGATTGAGCGTTGTGCCAAGAGAGGCCACGGTAGACATTAAAGGAGAAAGTGGTGGTGAGGTAGATGGTGGCGAGCCCTAGCCCCGCCGTGAAGGCCTTGAACGACCAATCTCCTGCTTTCTTTACTATACCCATCTTTCTCTCTCTATTTCGATTTCGAGTCTCGGCGGCGTGGCCAAACAAAGTCCAGCCTTCTCTTCTTTTAACAAGTCCACCACCGCTTATCGAACCCGAAGATTTATGTGTGTAAATTTTATGCCCGGTTTACTCTCTCTTGTACTTGGATTTTGTCCTTTTCAAAGACATTTATTCAAATTGGTTTGGTTTGGATTCGACTTATTTCTTCCAAATTAATTTGACCTGACCGAACTACTAAGTATGGGCTTCGAATACAAATTAATCAAAATGAAATAAGTTGATAACCAAACATATTTAGATTTCAGATTCGGAAGCTGAATGTGTCACTACTAATTCGAAACTAAACTACTTTCTTTTTTTTGACATTTTGTTGCAGTCGGACTAAACAATCCTTTGTGTAAAAGTAGCAAATATTTCTCACAATCTAAAGCATCATATTTATACATCAATCGCTATGAACAGTGTTCACTGAACACGGTTTTTGATCATCTCACATTAGTTCTCTCTTCACAGCTAGAAAAGAAAGAAGTTAGTGCAGCGATAGAGGAGAAGCTGCTAATTCCATGGACTCTGTAATCGTGATTCTCTGAAAACAGAAGTGCCACCAGAGCCAGCTGGTGAAGGAGATGAAGCTATGTAGTTTGTTCCAGATGCAGACACAGTGACTCCTGCAGCACTTGGATTGCCCGGTTGAGATGGACCCACGCGTGGGCTCCATCGAGAAGTATGCGGAACCTGAGAAACAAGCAACAACATTCAATTCCAAAACTACTCTAGGACCAGGAATTGAGAAAGAAAAAACTTTTGAATGTTATACCGTATTGTGTTGTGAAAAGGCTGCTGCTCTTCTGAGAGGAGATTCAGATGACGAAGAAGCACCGCAGAGTCGAAGAACACTGGGAGTTTGAGCATTATTTTGATTCCCAGCATCATTCGTTTCTCCACCTTCCATGTGAGCATTAGAGACATCTACATGGAGTGGAAGAGAAGGACGAGACGCTGTTGTTCCTGGCTGTTGCGTGATGCTGCTGCGCCTTTTCAATTCTTCCTCAGCATTCAAAATCTGCGTGGTGCATCCGTTCAATCTCGACATGAATAATTTCAACAAATGTGAATTGACATAGCCGAAACAGAACACTGACCTGCTTAAGGACTTGGACGAGATTGTGTTTCTTTGCACTCAACACTTGTAATCTCTCCTCCACTTCTTTCTCTTCTTTCTCTATTTCGCTTGGTGCTACTTCTTCAGCTGTTTCCTTTGCCTGGTGAAACACACAATAAAGCTAGAAACGATAAGAAAACGAAACAAACTCACAGATAGCTAACAACTTTAGGAGCTTAAGATATAGCTAAACTGGTAACTAAAGCTACTTGAGGGCACACATCAGAGTTACTTTCCATCAAATCAGCTACTTACATAGATGAATTCACCTAAATTTCCTAATCATCTCCTAAAGTACTTCATCGAATCAAAATCATTATTTTCAACCAACATAGTGATTCAATTTTCAGAATCTATCGGAATGTCTCAAAGAAACATACCTCCGCCTTATCGTTCGCAGCTTCCTCGTGTGTTACATTATCGATTTCATTCTTCGATAGCAATTCCATAACTCGATCTCCACCATCAATTCCGCCATTCTCCTCTTCCCTAACCCGATTCACATCAATCTCCTCTCTCTTCACCTCAACAAGCTTCTGTTTCCCGGACGAACCGGGCCGGTCAGCTGGAATCGCATCCTTCCGATGCGTAACCGACTCAGTCTTGACGTTAACGCTCTGCTTAGGGTTAGAATCGAGGGCGAGTCGAGAAAGAGCTCGTTTACGGCGGTGGAGGAGAGATTTGAAGTCTTTGAAAGAGAGGTTACGATCCGGCATGGTCCACCGGCGAGGCACGTCGGGAACTTTGTGAAGGTTGCCTCTGTACATCGATATCGCCACCATCCCTTTTTTTTGGGGGGGGGGGGGGGGGGGGGGTTTNGGTGGAGGAGAGATTTGAAGTCTTTGAAAGAGAGGTTACGATCCGGCATGGTCCACCGGCGAGGCACGTCGGGAACTTTGTGAAGGTTGCCTCTGTACATCGATATCGCCACCATCCCTTTTTTTTGGGGGGGGGGGGGGGGGTGGGGTTTACGTGGTCGAATTCGCCGTTTCGTTCTCTGCTAACGAAGGGATTTCGGGTTGCGTGATGTTTTGCTATGGGAGATGAGAAACGTGCGCTGTTTCATTACACAAACGTTCTATGATTGTATCTAAAGCCGATGTGAAGCCCACACATTTGCTCTAAAAAGCCCACACAATTTTCTTTGTTTTTATTTTAAAAAGATTTTTAACGTTAAAACTAGAGAGTACAAAACCCCCTTGTTTAATGAAAACTTCAAACTAAAATAAAGTATATATTATACTCTCTCTGTTTCATTATAAGCTAAGTCGTTGCCTATAAATTTGCAGATAAAAATAATTTTAAAATATAATATAAGATTGTTGTATTTTTGACATGATATAATATATTTTTAGCTTTTCAAACTGAATGTGAATTTCTTTAGTATATTTAAATATCATTATATAGATACTTTATTTACTTTAGTTAGTTGAGTTATTTGGTTAGTTTTAAAATTATAAATGGCATTTTAATATTTCAATAAAATTGTTTTATCAAAAACTATATATGACTGATTAAGATTTTAATCCATTAAAAATATAATTTCATTTTTTTAACATTCACATCTAGACCATATATATGTATATATATTAATAGGTTTGTAGATCAAGTTGGTGATATATTAGATTAGGTAATTGTATGATTCGTTTCCTTTTAAAAACTTGTTTGATTTTTTTTTAAGTTTTTATTTATTAGTTTTCTGCAATCAATGATTTATTATATCCAATATAAATATAATATTTTAAAGTTGTTTATATAATTGTTTGTGTATTATCATATGTATTTATATTATAAATTAATATAATGTCATCTATGATAATCAATTGTTTCAACAAAACAATTATGTTAATTCTTTTTAAATTTAAGATGTTTGATTGTTTATTTGGTAACACATATTAGATTATATACGATTTGTTTCTTTTTAAAAACTTGATTTAAATAAATAAAAATTTAAATACCAACAACCAATCAAATTAAGAGAATTAATTATAAATTTCACCTATGAATGACAACTAAGAAAAAAAATCACTAAAGTGACCTCTCATTTAATATATAGTAGGATGTCGTTTTAGAGTTGTACATACGAATTAATGAAACAATTAATTTTCACTAGATCATGAGCCACGCACTTGTGCGGGTTTTATTTTTGGATGTATTCCGTATAATTTAGTTTTATATAGTTTCGAGTTTGTCCAATTCTATTTTATATTTAAATAAAAATATCAAAACTGTTTTTTTTTTGTATTAATAATGTTCAGCAGTGTATTACGTAGATATAACTGTGCAGTGAAAACACTAATTATTTACGTTTGTTTGAAATACAAAATTAAAGTTAAACTTAACTGTTTGCATTTTGATGATTTGTTGAGAATTTAGTTACTTCTGATTAGACTTGAGATTTAATACCCGCTATACGTTCTCCGGTCTAGGTACATTCCGATCTGCTCCGAATAAACAGATATTCAGGGGTCCGGATCATATTGTGATTTTACGGATCAAGATAGTGAAATTTAGATATAAATATCCAGATCTGAATCCACTATACATTTTTAAAATATTTAAAATATAATTAAATTTAAAGATGTTTAAAGATGTATATTGTATATTATTTTTCTATAAAATAAATAAATATATTTTTATTAAATTTCATGATTTTTACCCACATTTAAAAATGTTACAAATTTTTTATTGATTTGTAAGATTTTTGACTATTTAAAAAATTATATAAAAATTTTTTTATTAGATTCATTAATATTGATTTGTCATACCATCAATAAAGCACCGGATCCCATCAGAACTCCGCAGTTAAGCGTGCTTTGGTGAAAGTAGTACTAGGATGGGTGACCTCCCGGGAAGCCCTCATGTTGCACCCCTATTTTATTTTTTTTAAGCACACCAAAGCGTTTCTAAACTTAAAAACTTCATAACTTTTGAACCGTGTGAAACTACGTCGCCCATAGCACCATATCGGAAACGCCCCAAAACCATAAATGGCGCGGAATAGGCGCCGCGATTTTCCGGACGCCAAATTCAGCTGTTTTGACCCTCAAAAAGGCAGTTTAATGTTGAGGACTAAAAAAAAGTCGAAATCTGGGTTTTCCGGGTGTTATCATGGAATTCTACTTAAATCTCACTACAATTTTATGCTGGAATATAAATGCAAATCAAACCATGAAGGTCCCACGCTAATCCATAACGTGATGAGGAAAACGAAGGATATATGGAATTTCGAGTCATGTACTAATGGGTGCGATCATACCAGCACTAATGCACCGGATCCCATCAGAACTCTGCAGTTAAGCGTGCTCGGGCGAGAGTATTACTAGGATGGGTGACCTCCCGGGAAGTCATCGTGTTGCACCCCTCTTTTATTTTTTTTAAGCACACCAAAGCATTTCTAAACTTAGAAACTTACTTTTGAACCGTGTGGAACTACGTCGCCCATAGCACCATATCGGAAACGCCCCAAAACCATAAATGGCGGTGAACAGGCGTCGCGATTTTCCAGACGCCAAATTCAGCTGTTTTGACCCATAAAAAGGCAGTTTAATGTTGAGGACTAAAAAAGTCGAAATCTGGGTTTTCCGTGTGTTATCGTGGAATTCTACTTAAATCTCACTACAATTTTATGCTGGAATATAAATGCAAATCAAACCATGAAGGTCCCACGCTAATCCATAACGTGATGAGGAAAACGAAGGATATATGGAATTTCGAGTCATGTACGAATGGGTGCAGTCATACCATCAATAAAGCACCGGATCCCATCAGAACTCCGCAGTTAAGCGTGCTTGGGTGAGAGTAGTACTAGGATGGATGCCCTCACAAGAAGTCCTCGTGTTGCACCCTTTTTTTTTTAATTTTTTTTGCAGACCAAAACGTTTCTAAACTTAAAAACTTCATAACTTTTGAACCGTGAGGAACTACGTCGCCTATAGCACCATTTCAGAAATGCCCCAAAACCATAAAAGGCAGTAATTAGGCGCCGCGATTTTTCGTACGCTAAATTCAGCTATTTTGACCGTCAAAAAGGCAGTTTAATGTTGAGGACTAAAAATAAGTCAAATGTGTTTTTTTCCGAGTGTTATCATGGAATTCTACGTAGATCTTACTAAAATTTTATACTGGAATATAAATGCCAATCAAATCATGAAGGTCCCATGCTAATCCATAACGCGATGAGGAAAACGAAGGATATATGGAATTGCGAGTCATGTACTAATGGGTGCGATCATACCAGCATTAATGCACCAGATCCCATCAGAACTCCGCAGTCAAGCGTGCTTGGGCGAGAGTAGTACTAGGATGGGTGACCTC